CTAAGACATAGCTTCAAGAATGGCCTTCACTAAATGGAGTTAAGAGCTGTCAAAAAAAAAAATATCCATGTGTTATTATAACATTTCATCTTGTGTTCTCCACAGCATTTCGGCCAGTCCATTTGAGGTCCTGAACATTCTGATCCACAGCCTACTGCAGGTCAGATCAACATTTACCAAGGTCTGCAAAGGAAAGGTACTGGCTCTGCCTCTGCCGGTCCATCCAGGCACAGCTGGGCCATGAAGCGGCGCTACAGTTCACCCCAGGAACCTCAGGCTGCATCTCTCTGTGCTTCTCGCGCCATCTAATTCTCTGCCAAGAAAAGGCCAGTTGAGGGAAATCTAAATGCCTTCTGCTATTTCTGGCACAGGGAAGGACTGCAAGGCATTGTTGCATCCATCTGCATTTTCAGCATCGAACAGCCATTGTTTATTCCATATCAAGCATCAGATTTCCCCGTATGAAAGGCAGAAATACATACATAGCCACAGAAACCCTTTTAGGTTAAGGAAAGTAAAACAAAAATCACAGTAAGAACCTCAAGAGGAATTATACAAGGTCATGTCTCTTACAGTTGTCTAAAATGAGCTGATCACAGAGTGGCTGCATGCCTGCTACCACAGAAAATTTTATAAAACTAAAGGAAAAAAACAATTACAATAATACTGATAAATCCATTAGCCTCTTACCTATTTACTATACCTGTGAAGCACTGAGGTACTTGATGAAGACACTGTCTCTGCCATCAGGAATTTGTGCCTGAAATAAGGCATGAATTAAAAGAATTCTTGAGATGTGATGCAAATATCAAGGTATGTCTAGCACTGACATTGCTTTTGCTAACTCATATGATTTCATCAATTTTATAACTACATTTCAGCTCACAGTAATTTCTGAATGACCAGCTGGCTATCTGATTCTCAATCTTATAACATTAGCAAATTCTGCAAAATCCTGTTTTCCAAAATCCTGAACTTATACCCAAACAATCAATAATGGTCACTTTACATTAGTCTTCCTAGTCTACAGTTAGTGGATCCTGCTCCACAGGTTTAAAATCAAACGTGATAATTATTCTAGTTTCCTGCTGAAGAAGCCAGAAAGAAATCCTTTGAGACTTTAACTACCCAATATCCTACTTGAATCCAAAGGACATATACATTTAACATTGCTACATACCTAGAGATCATATACATACAGTGCATGTTTTGTGCATATATATGTGCATATATACACAGAGAACATATGTATGCAGTAAATAAAAGTCAGTTCAGTGGACAACCTACTTATATATTTTATTGCTCCTTTCCATTTATCAAGTTTATTATTCATGAAAATCCAGAGCTTAAATAGAGATAATCTGGCCCTCATGCAGAGATGGCTGAGCCAAAATCCATTCAACCACTTCATGCCTCTGTCACTTCTGCCTTCACTGGCATTCACTGAGACATAAAGGAGGATGTATCCAAACAAAGTGGCTTATAACTAATTGCACCAGCTTCATTAATACTGCATTATGTGTCTCTTGACTATAGAGAACTGACAATGCAAAAGATGTCAAGAGCTTATAAAAATGTACATATAAATATTTGGTCCAATATTCAACATGAATATACTAGCAGCTTCTGCTTCAACAGCACAAACCGGGGAAAGGGTCTTTTAACAGTTGCTAACTGGAAACAAAAGGGAAATAGCTTTAACTTCCCAAACACTCAGAGATATTTACATCATTTCTGTGCCTTTTAAGTAATTAGGTGTCACTTCAGAATAAGAAATCCCCACTGTGGTGTAAAGATATCTGGCTGTAAACAGAGCTATCTATGGCATTTCCATTTGCAGAGAAGTCCTAACAACAAAAAAGACAGATGAGAGGTTTTTAATCAAAGGCATCCGGAGTTTAGGGGAAATCACTCCATAATGACCACAGGCACTTCAAACTCAGAAGAAAGAATTTTAGACAACAAATACCAAGACAAATAGGAGGGCATCTTTTTGCTCAGGTGTAAGAGGAGGCCTGTGTCTTACATTTGCTTTGCTTGTAACTGTTTACAAATGTCTAAATAGCAATCTGACCTCAGTCACAATGATACAGCGAAGGCATGACATTAAAGAGTGTGTCCACAATCCAACATGGATTCACATGAAACCACCAGTTGTGGCTTGCTTTCACAAGGGCAACAGATATCAGGAATAAATTAGGACAAAGCAAGGAGGTATTCCAGCAACTGCCATGGCACACCACCTCTGAGATGTGTTCCCATGCAGCAGCTGATATGCACCAAGAGCATTTCAGAGTCTGCAAAGGCTCACTTTTCAGAGTGCATTACTTGCTGTGAGGTAGAACTCATTTCAGCAAGTGCAAGCTGGCAAGCTCCTCACCCATGAGCTGATTAAGGGGCTAACACTCTCTATCTGAGCAGCTTTGTGTTCTTAGCAATGGATAGCCAAAAGAAGACACATACATGGAGAACATGCTTTATCTCTTTTGTACTTTCCACCTTTCTCTGCTCCTCCAGGAGACTCTGGAAATTAGCACTGGAGCTCTGGCAGAGCGTACATTATTACAAGCAGTACGTACAACTGTGACCAGCTACAATGAACAAAACAAGTAAACTTCCAACTAAATACGCTATTCTTCATTCATGTTGAATTCTACAACTGTATCAAAACAGAATCAGCTGTTCCTGAAATAGAGATGAAAAGCTTTCTCATGAACATCACGAACATGATGCTCATGAGAACATGATGGGCACAAAAATTTCATGAACAGATTTTTGGATTTCAGACCTTTCTTTCACTTTTTCTTTACTGAACAATATATTTTAATGCCACTGAGGGAGAAGCCTCACTGAGCACTTCTTACATGCAACTGAGATCCCAGATGGTATCCTACGGTACTTTAGGTAATCCTTTTGTCAGAGCTACAGTCAGTAATAACTAAAAATTAATTGTTCATGGCACATACTGTCTTGAGAATCAAGCTATTTTTTGATCTTGTAATTAAAGTTCACTTTCCATCATGCAAAAATCTATGCAATCTAGGAAATAGTTCAGTCATTAATAATTTCATTCATTTATGACCTGCTGTATACTAATTAAAGTCAAAATGGAATTTGGAGATGACATAGTAGATTTCTTCTTTTTCACTTAGTCTCTCATGGTTATCTTTTATATTGTTAAGATACAAATACAGATACATGCAACTAAAAAATATGTTTCCTAAAATCTGTTTGTTTTTATGGAGTCTGTTGGGAATGGAGTTAACTGTCTTCATAGCAGCCGGTATAGTGCTGTGCTTTGCATTTGTGGCTAAACCAGTGCCAGTGCACCAGTGGCCAGTGGTCTGGGGATGGGCAAAGGGCAGGGAGGGGACACAGCTGGGACAGCTGACCCACACTGTAAAAAGAAATGTTACCTACCATATGACACTGTGCACAGCAATAAAAGCTCAGGGATAAGGGCAGGATACAAGACATTTGTCTTACCAAGAAATCATTATGCATATTTGAGAGGGGAGTGAGAGGTACAGTGGGTATTTTGCTGCTGGCTGGGGTCAACACACCACATTGCTCTTTCTGAACATTTGCTATAGTTGAATATCTCCCTTGCCTCCTGTGCATTCCATTCACTGCATCCAAATTACCACTTAAGTGATAGAGCAAGAGCAATTCTCTGCATAGCTTATCCAGCTGAAAATAGGCCACCTTTGATTTCAAGCTGCTCTTGGAACAAAACAAAGGCATGAAAATCTCAGAACAAAAACTAAGCTAATAATCTGAAAAAGGGAGTTAATTTAATGTGATATATACATACAGACAAAACGCTTCCCAAATATTGAGCTTTAAGGGTTCTCATTTTTAAACAAATAATACATGAGAAAAATTATGCGTTTCGATTGAGGGTACCAAACATCACCCTCCAATCTTGGTTCAAACTGATCTGCTGATCGCAAATTGATCAATATTTAGTAGAATAATATGAAGTACTGAAGAATTTCAGGAAACTGTTCTTTTACATAGACAAGGCTTTCACAGTACAACTGTTTAATATTCCAGAAATACCCATGCAGTGATAATTCTGTTTAAACGTTTACACAAGTGAGGCCCCACTTCCCTCAGAATCCACTATTATCTCAGGTGATAATAGTCTGCTTCTGCCCTACACCCTTGCGACACAGGGACACCATGTTTCTCTGCTGATAAGGCACCAATGCAACTAGGCATGATCTTTAGTCCCAGTGCCCTGCTTACTCTTCTGACCTTGCAAATTTGATAGGCAGACTGTAAGAAGAGAGCAACCAACTTCCATGTGTATGCAAGCAAACAGGGAAGAGAACAGTCTGCCCATATCTAAGCAGAATGCACCAAATACTGAGTTGACACTAATTGAAGGCAAGTCTTAAAATGTTTTAAAATTTCAAGCCTTCCATTTTAACACCTGCAAATAAACTGTTATCTCCCAGTTCCACACCAACACTAATACTGATGAAAAACCAGTACCTATATTTCAACAGCCAAAGTTATAAAAATTCACAGAAAGAGGTGGATACTATTACAAAGCTCTCATGGAAAGGAAATAAGTGGGCTCGGAACTATTTAAATGAAAAACTTGCAACTATTATTGAGGAAAATTGACAACATGAGTAATGTTCCTTTGAAAATGAAATGAGGTATCAGAAAAGGAGTTGTTCCAAACAAATGAAAGCAAGTTCATTCTGATTTGGTCAGTCTTTACCATCATGTCTTCGTTTTCTTGCTTTATACTTCAGGTCTCAAGGCCTAAACAAAGATTAATGAAACCTATTTAATGTGTCCCCATCAGAGAAAGACTGTAGAATATATATAGAAATAGTTGTGAATAGCATTGCACTGTATTGTCTTCTATCAATATGTAATATGACATACTAAATCCAATACATGTGAACAATAAAGTGAATTCAATTTCCATGCAAAAAAAAAAAAAGGCAATTCATTATGCTTACTACAAATGGTGTGGGGGTTGTTGTCAATGAAAAACATGATTATTTCTTTATATGGTTTAACTGCTGACACAAAAAAGTGTAATCTTCAAAGTCAGGAGTAAATTCCATGAATGCTTTCTTTTAATGGCTAATAACAATGAAAGCAACACTAACTGCCTGGCTACATATACAATATAAACCTACAAACATTATCATTTTAAGATAAAAGAAAATGTTTTCAGTATCTCTTTACTAGCAAAGAACACAGAAATTAAAATGACAAAGATCTTCACATAACTGGACTGTATTACATTTGATGGCAACAGACTCCATCTTCACCACACATCTTCAACAGTTCTTAGAAGACAGTGATGGTCTAATGTACTATATATGGGACAGAGACAAATTATACACACTTGTCATTTATATCCATTTATTGCTGCAGTAATGTAAGAAAGGACACCACACAAAAAATAACGCTGTAAGATCTCCAGGAAAAAATGAATAATGGCATAGGAACACTCATTCACAGTATACCATTCACAGCTCAGTTATTCTTACAAGCCTCCAAACACCACCAGTTCAGGCACTGCAGAAGCGCATAGCTGGACACCGACCTGGTGAATGGTGGAAAGGGAACAGTAACACCTGTATTGTCTTCTACTAGTGGAAAAGACTCTTCACCCTAAAATAAATAAATAAATAAATAAATAAAATCCTAAAAAAAGGCCACTCTCTTCCAGCATATCCACGCCTGCTTAGAGAAAAGAGCATCAAACTAAAACATCTTCAGTCTAAATAGCATCTCTTGTCTTCCACCTTAGTCTTACAAGGACAACAGCATCAGAGAGATGAAAAACCAGGAGAACATAGACAAAAACCCTCAAATTACACTTTTATCAAATATCACCCTCCTCTTCCCTCAGCCTTCAAGTGGAGAAAAATTGAAAGCTCACACGAATAAGCATTGGCTTGAAAGTAAGGGGCTGAGGTGACAAATAAGGCTTCATTTTCTCCTAAGATTTCCCTCCCAAACAGCAACAGAGACTCCACTGAAGAACAGTCATCATTTTGTAAACAGAAACAGCCAAAGACATTGAAAAAGGTTACTTTTGCGGCTGGTCCTTTTTGAAAAAACAAACCCATCAACTGACAACAAAATTCAGCATCTCATTCACGTTTCCCGATGCTTTGTACCTAATACTGAAATATCTTCCCTCCCATTAAAATCTGAATAAAACTATATCAAACAAATCAGCTGCAGAATTATTTTCAGATGGGCTTCAGCTCAGCAGAAACACTTAGTGAAAAAGCCATGCAGAAGAACAATTGATGGAGAAGTTTCCAGTAATAAATAATACCACAGTACTTTGAGTTTGAGAGGGAATTCCTAGGCAAGCAACTAAGAACAACCGAAAAATGCCTTGGTCAAACCAACAGAACTTCTAAGCTAAACTGGCTCTGGTTTAAATCCTGGCTACACTCTTGCTTCCTAGGGTCCTTGTGTCTAATCCTTTGCACACTGTCTTTATTGGCTCAGATTTGCTAGCAGTTTGCAGCTTTGCTCTGGTTTTAAAAGACTGTGAATCTGTAATGAGAACTGATTAGAGCATTTCCAGTGAAACAGGTCAAAGTTTTTACCTGGAAGACATCCAAGATGTGGTGGGATCAAATCAGTTTCCATCTAAAGCAGCTGGAATTCCAATCCTGACCTGAAAATAGACAACTTCTGTGCAATTTTGTTGTGCAGTATCATCCAAACAGTCCAGTTTTGTTCTAATGAGGAAAAAAGGCCAGAACCAGAATTCTCAAAAAACTGATGAGAAACAGAACTGTTTCTGACTCTGTGATTATTTTTAGTAAAATACTGGAGATACACCCTGTGGTGTATAAAATTGAACTGCTTTGTTATCATAATTTTGGGGAGAAAAAGAGTGAAGGAACTTACTAAATCATTACATTATCGCTTATTTTTCACTACAAGTATAGAAACAAAGTTACTTTCAGTAGCTCTTAAACTCTACAATCTTTACGTAACATTTTGGAGGAGAACCTCCAGGCCTACATTACATGATCTCATTTGAAAGCATGAAACCAGCACGTTCTGAGGATGTAGAAATAGATGTGGGCTCAGAGCAGAACACAGATGCTCTTATGCTAGAGACATACCAGACACATGTGCTGTAACAAAATAAGTACGAAAGAAAGTATCAACTTGGGATCTTCCTTTTTTTCCTGCTTCACCATGATATCTTCCTTTATAATCTCTATAAAACTCATTATGGGCTTCTTGAAGTAAAAGGTTTTGAATCAGTTCTTCTGGGCTTTGCCTTATATCTATTACTTCAGACTCTAAGCTTATCTTCACATTAGCTTAGTCACCAATTAAATGTAATTGCCTAATGATCTAGAACAGCATCAACTATATGCAAAAAAGCACAACCATAAGAAATATTATGTAATTCTAAAAAATCAAATGCCAGCAGTAATTCCCCATAGTGCTGAAAGTGTATAAGAAAAAATTTCATATTCCTTAAAAATTACTGTCTTCCTTTATTAAATCCTCCAGATATATTTCACAGATCATGTCTGTCCCTAATCATGTCATTTTATGTTCCTTAATGTAACATTGCCAGGTAGTCAATGCTTCCTTCACAGCTTACAGTGGGAAGACTGGAGTGTTTTTTACTTAATGTACCAAACCACATTCCCATCACAGATTCACAAATCCTACAGAGGCACTTGCATTTGAAAACCAAAATCAAACCTGGAGAACAAAATAAGCAATGAGCACATATGCAGCCTCTTTGTCATATTCAGTGAATTTGTCATGTTCTGTGATTAAAAAAATAAAATGATGTCATCTGCATGGTGACACTGCAGGTATTTTACAGTATTTCACATCCAGAAAATGGTTTATGGAGCTGGACTTAGAAAAAAACCACAGATTTTGCAACTTTTTTGAACTGCTGATGCTTCTGGAATTTCTTTATCATATATACCTATAGGTAATACTATATACATGGATGGGAATGGGTCATGACATCTAGCCCATCTGTTTAAGCAATACAGTGCAACAGCCACTCAGTCCAGCAGATTGCTTTGATGCCTACTCCTTGCACATCCTTGTTCAGAACAGCCACAAAGAACTTGCTCAAACTTTGCAACATACTTGAGGCTTGCAATAAAAGGGCCAAAGACACAACTGCAATTTGACACAAGAAAAAACAATTCTTAGCATTACCGATGCCTTGGCCCCACAGGAGCACAAAGAACTTGTTACTTTGAACCTCAGATGCTCCCAAGCAGCTAACTATGTTGTACATTACAACATAAACTACAACTTCCCCACCGTCTCCTCCATACTTGGCAAACAGTACAGGGAAGGAAGAAGAATTTTCCCTCCTGATCCCCAGATCTTGTAGAACAGATTAACACACCAGTCAGCCCCCCAGACAAACCGTTCTCTACTAATAGACAGTTTTGAAGCTTCACAAAAATAACACTAACCTTCCTTCCTGTGCCTGAAGGCAGGGAAACCCCATTCTAGTTGGATACAGGGGTTAGGACTCATACTGTTGTGCTTTTATTCCATTACTGGTGTGTTGTATGATGAACATATAGACACATCAGAGTTGAGGTGAGGATTTCACTGCTTTTCAGCTCTCTTTTGCCATCAACCCCTCACCTCCTTAGATTATTGTCACTGCTGGCAAGCCCCTACTGTTTTGCAGTTTCTACTACATGTAGATATTTCATTAAATGTTTGTATATTCTCAGGCCTTTATTCTCCTGTTTGAGCCTATTGATTTCAATCCCTCTCCGCTATTATTGTCTTCTCACAAATGAGTTATTGGCACGAAGTATTTTAAACTCATCTGTGTGAAAGGCAGCCAAAGACAAAGCAAATTGCATTGCTATAAAGGTTTCTTTTCATAGTTCAATATAATCACAAATTAATTTTCTGCAAAATAAAATATGAAAAGCCTCCACTATAAATAAAGTTCCTGTGAAAAGTCACTGTATTCTGCTGAAAATACCATATTCAAAAGTTAAAAATAAAGTCTTTCAAGAAAAAGAGTCTGTGTGGGGGTAAAACTTCTCCCTCTCTTTTGTATTCATAAAGTTTAAACTTTCGCTGTAGGTTTAAATCTCTTCCCACCTCCTCTTTTCTTTTTCAGCCAGAAAACCTACGGCATTGAAGTCCCAGGGATGAGGAATGACTCACCCTCAAGTGCTGAGTCACAATCACACCAAATAAACTCTTACATCTTGATGGAGCACCAAATCCAATAGCTTTGCTTAGTCACTTGACTTTGCCGTAATTCCTATGATTCACTCAAACCCAAAACTTTGATTTCTTATTTCTTATTTTTGCTTGCAATATATATATTCAGTTAGATAACCCTTATACAACTCTTAAAGCTGAATTTTTTCAAGCCACCGCTAACCTTAAATCAGATCCCAAGTTTTAGACATAAGGTGTGTCACTTATTAAATCCAAGAGGCCAATGCGCCAAACTGCACATCGGCTTGAATTTGAACTGCTGATCTCCCAATCCTTGGGCACCTACAGAGAATGCCAACTGACATCTAAAGACACGTACATTAGGACTTCATCCTGCCCTGACTCATGCCACCAACAACCTACCATCGGCTTAACAGCCTGGCCATTCTCTCAGCCTGACAAGGTCAGACACAAGAAGTGAGTGCTCAGCAGTTTGCACAGAGGATCACGTATGTAATCCTGATTAAAAAGTCAGTGTTGGAGCAACAGAATTTCCATTCCTTCATCATTTCAGTTTGTTAACTTTTGTCCTATCTGGAGGTAGATAAAGCAAAATTACTTCACCCAGCTGTTTATCACTTCATCCAATTATTTATATTCGGAAGAAGTTAACTCAACTAAGGTAATTCATGTATTTCTTTCCACAGGAATTTACAGCAATGTTTCATCTAATTACTCTTAACATTGCAGCCATAATCCTGAGAACTTCTCTAAAAGGTTGCAGGCAGGCTAGCATGGGGGGAGGTGCGGACGTGTGAAGGAAACTCATCACTGACAGAGGTTAATGCAGATAGAGTAAGTAAGATTCTGATGACTGTCACAATGTAATACCTACAGAGGGTAATTATCATCATACTGTTATTTATTCTTCTGTCTTGAGGCACAGTTTTTGTGTTTCATCACTGTCTATTTCTGCAGCAGCTGCATTTACAAGTTTTATGCTGCCGTAGTGGTCAGGAAATCCATTGTGCTGAAGGCACCCGGGCACCCGGTTGGTTAAGTGCATCTGGAAAATTTTCCCTTATGAAAAGATACTGTGAGAAGGCAGGGGTCAACTCTGCAGATTTCTAGGCATAAAACAGACTGCACACACTGAGATATAGTTCACAGAAATCCTACAATAAAGGTTGGATGTCTAGCCTCGCTAAGGGGTAAATACAGCTTTGAAGCTTCTTTGACCAGTTATTATGACCTTAGCAAGATTCAATAATAACATAAAAAAAAACAAAAAAGGCAACTGAAAAAAAGTAAATATTTGGCCTTTGATCATAAGAAATTAAGTTGCAGGACCTATGTTCTCCATAGGCTGTAGGTTCTCGAGTCCTTCTCCAAGCATTTACACAATGATATTTTTTTTAATGCAAATCCTAGCCAAGCTTAGTTACAAGCCATTTTCT